CTCCTGATGGGATTATTGACTGCAAATACTGTGGGATGGGTGTGTGTGAAATAAAATAATAATAATAATAATAATCGACTTTATTTAAAGAGCGTATACATATAACAGCTTGTGCTGATAAACCAGTGGCCCTCAAAACTAAAGTTAGTAATACATTCTAAGCCATAGAGATTAAAAATAGAACTAACTAGTCGAACAATGTAACTATTCAAAGATTATAAATGTCTATATGTGCACAAGGATTCCACAATCACTGAGGCTGCTGGCCAAAACAACTTTTGTTTAAAGAAAGATGAGTTTGGTAAAGTTCATCTTGACAAAAGTCATGCCTACTACCAAGTTCAGGCCCAGATCTTTATCTGTGAGGATGAATATTGTGATTTTGTGGTGTGAACAACAATGGATCTCTTTGTGCAGAAATTCTTCCTGACCAAGAGTTTTGGGAAGATGCACTCTCTGTTTCCTCTGATTTCTTCAGCAAGTGCATTTTGCCTAAAATTGTAGGGAAGTAATATACATGCCCAGGGTGTGAAGCTCTAACCATTCCATCTTCATCAACATCATCTGGTGATGAGAAGAGGAAGGGCTGTGGTGCTATTTTCAACAAGATTTGGAGGAGAGCACATTAATTGACTGTGACGATGACTTGTTCAAGATAAAATGGAATCATATGTCATTTTTGAAGTTGAAAGAAGAGCCTTTAGGAGACTGGATCTGTTCAACTTTTTATTGAAAAAATTAACTGAGCAATCATGATTGAAATGTCAAGGTTATTCAGTTGTACCACAATCACCAAAATGTTACTTTGGGGGTGCTGCTTTCTTTGTCAAAATGCTAACTGAACTTTAGGGTTGTTTGTCATATAGGTATCTATTAATGACTAGCATCTGTGACACATACTAAACAAATGTTGCTTGTCAATGGTGTACCTTTAAAGCTGTGTATTTGTCAACTGGAGAATTACTGAAGTTCTTTAATGACAAATTATGGCTAGCATTAACTAAATCAGTTCTCTAAGGCCTTTACATGAAAAAATTTAATTGTGCATAAGGTACCTGGAATCAAACTGGTTGTAAGTTCACCTCGATCAAATGGTACAATGAACTCTGTTAAATTGGTGACTGCATAGCACACTATGGCAGCTTTATCAATGGGAGCCAGAGCCTCGCCTGGTTTTGCCTTTACCAACGAAACGATACCGGCTTCCGCAAAGTATGTGCATGGTTATCCCCCAGTTTGTGTTGTTATTATCAATATTTAGAAAATACAGCATCAATCCCACAAGTATCAGTAATTAGCTGAATCTCAAACTAAACCATTTGCGCATGCGCTAAGATGCGAAAATTATTAATACAAAAGAAACATACAGCCTTGAAAGCTTAAACAATAACTACTTTTCAATTGCTTTCTTGTTTATTCACGTAACATAACCAAATTCAAAACAACCAAACACAACACAGAGTTGTGGCATGATAAGAGGGGAAACTAAAACTGTAAAACGATCATACCGGCTTCCGCAAAGCATGTGGAGTTGTAGAATCCAACAAAACTGAAAAAATTTACCGTTCACTCAAAATATATTACTATCCAAACTACAGCACAATTCTTAAAATAGTCTACATTGGCATACCTAATTACAAGTATTGGCAGCTATTTAGAATGCATGACATTGACAACTATGTGCGTAACACCTTCAACATACACTTCAGACAACTATGTTACACTCTTAGAACTATATTATCAATTCGCTCTAGTCACGTAATCACTCAGTCGAGATGGAGGTAGTTGAGATCAACAGCGAAGTGCTCTCGCGTTCGCCACTAATTTATTTCTACTGCTTGGATTTGGATAGTCAGACTTACATCAAACTTTCCAATTTGGCTTGTTGTCCGAGACTTCCAGGCTTCTCAATGTGATATTCTTTCAATTTACCCAAACAGCTAGAGGATGAAAGCGAAGATCGAAGACGTTCAGTGATTATAATCTTCGACTTCGATTGCGTCGAAAATCGGTCTCTTGCCGCTTCGGATATTCGACCATATGACGAATATGAAGGAGATAACAACATCCCAGAAATGCCCTGGCTAGACTTACAAGTCTCAAATTGTAATATTGCAGTTGCTACCCGACGAAAGGAAAAATCGCCGTGAAAAGCCAGTCTTCTGAAGAAGTGGCAAGCGACTCGAGTTACCAAAAGAAATAAAGAAAACACTCCATCACAAGATACTAACCTTAATTCAGGAGCAAACCTTTACACAGATGTACTAAAAGGGGCATTTAATACAGGTAGCAAAGGCTATTGATCGATCAAAAGCGGGCC